ATAGGCCTCTTACATGGTACTTTGATCCCTGACACAGGCATGCTTGCCAACTGTGGACCTCGGGCAAGGTATCTCCCTGGAACTCAGTTTCCTCATCTGTAAAGTGAAGGGACTGCACTAGGTGGCTTCTGAAGTCGCTTCCAGCTGTGAGATCTGTGATCAAGATAAAAGACAGATAACTGTGATCGTGTCATTGCCCTCAATCAGCTAAAGGAAAATACATAAACAGAGCAGAACTGGGCTCTCCTTCCTAGCTCATAATGATACTCTTCCATCTGCGGTGGATGGGAAAATCCCAGGGGCCTCTGACTCTATGAGTCTAAAACAGGTCTTTCTGGGCATGGAAAATAGGCCTGGGGGAGAAGCTCTGGGGGCTGGCAAGAGCCCCAACAGAGACCGGAGCCACCTGGCCACCCCCAGTGTCAGCTCCTTCCTCTTCATTCCCTCCTTGATCATGCCAGAGAAGTTAGCATGCTCACTGTGTTTCTTTTCTACAGGGGACCCTATTGCTTTTGCCCTGGAAAGCAGGTAAAATTTGTTTTCAGGACTTCAGCACTCTTGGTAACCTCATAAGTTCCCATGGATTTAATTATCATCCCTGCACAGATGACTCCCAGATCTAAATGTCTAGCCTCAGTCTCTCCCCTGCACTTCGGTCCATCCCGGCTATTTCAGCCTGGATATCCTAGAGGCTTCTCAAACTCAGCATGCCCAAAACAGAACTTAGCCTTCACCCCAAACACACTCCTCTTCCAAACTCTGCTATTTCTTTCGACAGTAAGAATATGTGTACTTATAAAAAGCATTTTAAGGTGTCACTCACGTACCCCTGAATGTTGCACATAGGGAGCTACAAACTTTCGATGCCTCTAGACCCACCTTTAGATAAGTTACTAACTAAATAATATTAATGAAGGAGAAATATTACAGATTAAGAAGTAGAGATCATGTTAATTACTAGCATTTACATAGTGCTTTAAGGCTTGCAAAGCACTTTACAAATATTGTCTCACTTGATCCTTCCAATAACCTTGGGAGAGATTAAGTGACTTATCCAGGGTCACACAGCTAATAAGTATGTGAGGAAGGATTGAAACTCTGGTCTTAGACAGTCGAGTCAGCATCACAAAGTATCTGTAACCCGTGAAGGAAAAAGGGAGTGAGAGGGAGGGAAGGGAGCATAAGATGGAAAAAAATTGTACCAACAAGACAGCAAAATGAGAGGTCTGATTGGGTAGCCATAGCAGAGCAAATGCCTAGATCCTACCGCTACTTATCCTCTTAACTTCTTTAGAGTGTATTATTATAAATCTCTTCCCAGCTGCCCATAGCGTCTCACCTTTGGCAGCAGAGCTGATCTCTACTCATCCAAGGCTAAAATTTAAGGGTCTGGTTTTGTATTGACAGTTTTATCAGCGTAAGACAAAGGGAGTAATTATATGACAAAGGGGTTTCAGAAGACAACACTTCTCTGAAGGGTTAAAGCTATTTTCATGCTGGTTTACACACTTGGCCTCTCAAAACACCTATTGCTCCTTATTAATACTTCTAGGGAGTAACTTTGGGCCCTTTCACTTTAGGCTGTAAATTCAAAGTCTGGCTGACTGTGGAATAGTTGGCGAATAAACTGATAAACCACCGTGGCTCATAGCCCCTAGCACATAGGGTCAAAACATTTAGAGTTGGAAAGAGCCTTAAAAATGCATCTTTTGTTTGTTTGTTTAAATAGATGAAGAAACTGGGCCTCTCGAAGTGTAACTTACCCAAAGCCACAGAGGTAATAAATAAGAGCTGGAATTTGAACTCAGATCCTCTAACTCCAGATACAGTGCTCTCTTCATCATATTCAGGGCTGTGAGCGGATTGCTAAATTTTCAGTATGAGCATTTATTTGCATCCAAGAAATCAGCAAACACTACAAATAAGGACTTGATGCTATGAATCAGCCTTGACATACTGTTTTGTTAACTGTCTAGACCTAATAGAGAAAGTATTAATACTTCAGATTAAATTTAAAAGTGTGTCAAGTGTGAGGATAAATTGAGATAACATTTGTAAAGTGTCACTTATTCTTACTACTAACCCTTAAGCCTAGGACAGAAAGCCCACGTGTCACTCACAAAGGGCTACAATTTCTAACTTGTCCACCAGGTGGCGCTCCCCTTGAGCCTTTAGCCCCCTCGATTCCTCTCTGGCTCACACCTGCAGAGACTTAGCTCTCATCATGGGAAGAAGACCCCTTTGTCTGAGTTTCAAAAAGGCAAAATGAAGTCTAATATTTCCACTTTCCCCTGGTTCCACAATTCCACGTTTCCACAATCCCCACTCACCTGATGTCCTCTGAGCTTTGACTCATAAATTTCCTTAAAGATCTCTGCTTTCTTTACAACTCACCAGGAACCATCACGGGTTTAGTTAGACTAGGCCATGCCAAATTAACCTCATTTTTTAAAAATTAAGATCATTCGGGGGAGGTGGCACAGCGGATAGAGCACCGGCCCTGAAGTCTGAAGGACCTGAGTTCAAATCCAGCCTCAGACCAAACAGTTGACATTAGATGTGTGACGCTGGGCAAGTCACTTAATCCCAATTGCCTAAAAATAATAAAAAAATTTTTAGAAAATTAAGATCACTGGATCAAGACATACTATAGACCATAACGTATCTTGATTTCGACAAGATAAAATTTGATTGTCTTCCATGAACACATGGGGAACAAGATAGAGAGATATGGGCGGGTTGGTAGTATGGTGAGAAGGATTAGAACCCAGTTGATCAACCTTACTTAAAGAATATTAATTAATGCATCAATGTCATTCTGGAGCAAAATCTAAAGTAAAGTCCTAAAGCCAAGTCCTACTTGGCCCATCCTGCATAGTCACCATTTTTGACCAATGGTTTAAATGAAGGTAAAGGACACGGGCATTCAGATTTGCAGACGACACACAGAATCGAGAGATAGCTGATGAGCCAAGTGTCAAAATCAAAATACAAAGAAATTTTGACAGGTTAGATCCAGGATTAAATTTAACACAATTTAAAGTCTTCCATGTAGTTTGAAATTTTAATTGCACAAGTGCAGAAATGAGGGAAACCTGGCCTAACAGCAATATATATATATATCACATAAACCTGGGGTTTTGGCTGACTACAGCTTTAGCATGAGTCAGCTTTGTGAAGTGGCTTTGCAAATCAAACCAACCAACCTTAATGCAATCTTTGGCCACCTTAATGGATATATGGCAAAGGAGGGTAGACAAGCCAGTCTTGTTGAAGCAGAAAAGTGCCGTGAGGGAGAGCCAGCATATGCCAGGTAAGGCAAACAACCACCACTGCCTTGACCACCATCTCGCCTCAGCCCCTGATGGAGGCAGCCCAGGACCTCAAAGCCAAGAGCCTTGGGATAGATTGCTTCCATCTCAGTGCTCTCAGCAATCATCTTGTACCAAGACACAGCCCGGCCACTGCTCCTGCAGGAGCTACAGCCACAGCCACTGAAGACCCAGAAAAGAGAGGTCTTGTCACCAAAATCCTTGGAACTGTCAGATGGTTCAACATCAGGAACTGAGATTACTTTTATCGGTGAGAGTTACATGAAAGAAGAGCAATTACCATCTGCTTTGTGGCTATACCCTAAAGACCACCGGACCTTCTACCGTGCACCTGAAATTTCCTTTAGCTATTTCCCACATTAGAATGTGAGCTTCCTGGGAACACGGATTGTCTTGCTTTTCTATTTTTATCTTCAGTACTTTGCATATAGTTAGCACTTAATAAAGGCTTCATTCATTTTTTCACTCAAATAGCATCCAGACAGAGTGAGGTTTAGTCCTACTGCACTATGCACTAGCCAGAAGAGATCTGGAGTATGGCGGTCAGTTCCACATGGCACACTTTTGAGGGATATTAAAAAACTCGTGTGTCCTGAAGAGATCAGCCAGCATGGTTGTTTCTGGTAATGGAATTGTAAAGAGAAGTTGAAAAATGTTTAGCCTAGAAAAAATTCAAGAAAAAGATAGCAATCTTTAATTTTTTTTGGACTATTATATGGGAAACAGCTGAGATTTATTCTGAGGGCCTCAGAAGACAGAACTAAGATCAATGAATGAATGTTGCATGGATGGAGATTTCAGCTCAATAGAAGGAAAATACTATGAGCTTATACTGCAACAAGTTCCACAGCCCCGTAGCTGGCTGTTCAAGCAGACACTCCATGACCACAAATCAGTGTTGTTCAAGGGCATCTTGAACAAGATATCTCTAAGATGTTTTTATTATAATCCTCCAAAAGAATGTAAATTCCATAAAGTCAGAGCCTACCTCATTTGGCTTTGAATTCCTAGCCTAGCACAAAGTCAGGCATATAGGAAGCACTTAATACTTACTGAATGCATGAGTGAATCCTTGTAATCCAAACTTCTCCAGTAACATAATCCCAACATCTTTAAAACTTCTCTTTATCTTCAGTCTTTAGCCCCTTCCGTGTTTCTAGGAGTAATTTTACTAGTCTAGTCTCTACTAAGAGAGGCAGCTTGGCACAGTGAATAAAGCACCAACTGCTGGCAGGAAGACCCAGGCTCAAGGCCTGCCCAGGCCACATACTATGCCACATTGGGCATTTAACCTTTCCATGTTCCAGGCAACTCTGAGACTCTAAGTGGCAGAATGGCTGGTGAGATGCATTTGATGGGAGCTCCCTACACCACTGAACTCACAGGTCCAGATTTTTTTTTTTTAAATCCTACTATAGCCTCCAAAACTGTCTGCGTAATGATCGAACTGTTAGAAGGAAAATGATATGTCAACTTCATGCCATTAAAGGTCCCCAATTTCAAATAAATTTCTTATTTTGGATTATCTACAACTTTAGTATCTCAAGTTGCTTGAAACAAATCAGAAAACATGTTTTCACCAATTAAAAAAAAAACCATGAACTGCCACTTAAGTAAATTCTCTCAACAGTGGTATAAAGGTATAAATAATATTTAATTTTCCAACAAAACACATTAGGAAGTAGCTCCCAGGGAATTAAATTGCCATACCATTCTGTTTAATTTGATATCATCTTTCCAGGAGCAAATTTGGGATTAAAGACCCCATTGTTAACCTCATGGAGAACATACAATAGCTGGGGAAGAATAAAGAAAATCTAAGGAGATCAAGACAGTTGTCTTTAAATATTGACACAGCTAGTCCACAGGAAAGGGCTGAGTCTTATGCTGGGGGCTCCAGAAGACAGAAGATAGAGTCAATGAGTAGTAGTTTCATGGATGCAGATTTCAGCTCAAAGTAAGGAAAATTAAGACGGAAGATGAAATATAAAAGGGTACCTGTAGGTGTTTGAAATGTGGTACCAAAAAGTCCCCAAATCAGAAACATCAAGAAAAGACTCCACATGCTTACCCACATATGTATATTATTTCTTTACCCAACTGGTCGTCATTGGCATCATGCATCAGTGTTCACGTACAAACAAAACACACATACTACATGCTAGAAATACAGAGGGTCGCATTCGTCCCACCAAAGCCAAAGGAGTTGGTCAATCCGATGCGTCTACCTCTCGTCTTCCATTCCTGGGCTGTCAGTGGGACATAATTGAGGTCAAACTCGGGCTCCAAGCAGTCCAAGTTGAGGGTGGGTGGCAGTGTTCTATGGTAACAAGCCAGGGCGGTAAAAGCAGCTTCTGCTGCTCCGGCCGCTCCTAACAAATGTCCCGTTGCTCCCTTGGTGGAGGACACTGAAAGCGAATGAGCGTGCTCTTTAAAGAGTTGTTTGATGGCCTTGTTTTCAGCAGCGTCTCCTAGAGGCGTGGAAGTCGCGTGTGCATTGACATAGGACACATCTTCAGGGGCGATGCCTGCATCTCTGATCGCAGCAGCCATACATCTGATGAAGTAAGAAAGACATTTTTGGTAAATTATCAAGAATATACGTCCCCTGTCTAGAACAATACTTTTATTAGTAACACAAAATGTGCATCTATATCAGAGGGTGATGAAAATGATACTCTCCTTCAGTAATCTCTTTAAAGAAGATAAATTTGGGTTAGAAACTTTAGTATACATGGCAAGATTCCTTCATACTGATTTACTAAGATCTTCCTATACATATACCCAGACAATTAGATTTAACAATCCTTAACAAAATAGAAGTGGCAAGTACCATAGAAGACAAGAGAGCTGCCTTTGGGATCAGACAGGCTTCAAGTCATGTGTCCAACTCAGACAGGCTGCATGAACCCGGGAAAGTCACTTAATCTCCAGTCCCCCAGGCAGCTCTAAGACTGTGAGTTGAAATGTATTTCCTTATTTGCATTGGTGGAGGAAATTTACACACCAAGAATTTCTTTTACATGTATGAAACCAAAGTTCAAAATATATACATATCATATGTGTATAAATAACACATGTATGACCTTAAGCAAATTACTTAATTTTTCTATTCTCAGTTTCCTAATCTGTAAAATAAAGGGATTGTACTTAATAACCCCTGAGGTTCTTTCCAGTTCCATGAAACTATGTTCTAACTAAATTGAATTTGTGTTTTATCCTGGGAAAAGTCAATGGCCTCAGGTCTAGCAGGAAGGGAGAGTAGGGAGGGAATAAGCATTCTATAGTGTCTATGATGTGCCAGGCACTGTGCTCAGCGCTGAGCACACCATCTTTGCCCTTATCCAGGTCATTGACAAAATGGTCAAAAACAAGTCAGGTCCAAGCACAGAACTTTGGGGTACTCCACTGGGGACCTCCTGTCCCACTGACACTGACCTATTGACAATTACTCTGAATCCTGTGGGGTGCAATCTGCATGAATGGAGGGAATAACTACAGCAAGGAGATCACCGAAGTCTTCAAAGCCTTCATTTTTGGTCACTGAATAATCTGGTCCATTGATTGCCAGGTTCTCAAGTAACTTTTGGAAAATATCTTCACTGAAGACAGTAAAGCAACCCTCAAAAGTTGAAAAATAAATTTACTAAAGTAAAAATAAAGCTATGCTAAATTTTTTTAAATGTCTCTGTTGCAAAGAATATAATTTGTAGCTTTCCCTAATAGCTTTCCCTTAATATTTCAAGTATGTTTTTTAATTTTTTTCAAACAACCAACCAACCAACCAATTGCTGTGGCCAAAAACTTTACCACCTATTGAATACCTTCTGATTTTGGGGCTGCCTGTACCCCTGAGTCGGAAAGGCTGATAAGAACAGAAAGACTGGAGGCCCCTTTGTGGGGTGTGATTTGAAACATGATCCCTTCCATGCTCTAATGCAGGTGGCCCACCAGCCCACCACCACATATGAAATTCCTAGCTTTAAAATTTACCACTTCAAAGTCTCTGAGTGTATTTTTCTTGAGTTACAGAATAATATTATGTGGGAGGGCTAACAAAATATCAAGGATTCGTTTACCTATCTGCTCTCACACAGAAAGGGAGATCAGACCCGTAAGCATGGGGCAGAAAATAAGTTTTGATGGAATGAAGTCCTATCTGGGGTCTTGGGGCACCACGGAGGGGGTGGATGCTGAAGAATAAAATGGTCTCAGTTGAGGAACAAATGTGAAAAGCTCTACCTTACAGCCCCTGCTCCTTCTGGATCGGGTGCTGTTATGTGGCTGGCATCCCCTGAAAGTCCATAGCCCAAGATTTCTGCATAGATCCTGGCTCCTCTCCGAATAGCGTGTTCATACTCTTCCAGCACCAGGATAGCAGCTCCCTCTCCCATCACAAAGCCGTCTCTCTTCGGATGGAACGGGCGGCACGCCAACTTGGGATCGGAGCTTGTGCTCAGAGCCCGAGCCCTGGAAAATCCAGCCAGAGACAAGGAGCTGATGCAGGCGTCTGCTCCTCCAGCCACCATCACATCGGCATCTCCATGCACAATAAATCTAAAAGAATCTCCCAAAGCATGTGCTCCCGTGGTGCAGGCAGTTGATACAGCATGATTGGGTCCTTTGAGCTGGTGACGGATGCTGACTTGACCGGCTGCCATGTTAACCAGGATCTTAGGGACAAAAAAGGGGCTGACTTTGTTGTATCCTTTTGTCTGAAACATCACAGCTGTGTCAGAAATCACTTCCAGGGGAACCATTCCCATACCAATAGCTACACCAGCATTCCTTTGATCGGCTTCTGATTGAGGGTGCCAACCAGAATCTTTGATTGCTAGCTCTGCTGCTCCAATGGCCAAGACGGTGGGAAAGGACATGGATTTAGCCTCTGATCTGGACACAAAGTTTTCTTCATTAAAATGACCTTCACCAGACCCTTTGGGCACATAGGCAGCAACTTTGCAAGGGATATTCTTATACTCTTCACCCTGCAGTGAAACAATGCCACATTGTCCCTGGATGAGGCGATCCCACACCAACTGAGTTCCAACCCCAAGAGGCGTTATTAATCCAATACCAGTGATCACAACTCGCCTTTGCCGTTTGGTTTGTGGCACAGTACACAAAAACCTCGGTTTACTTCTAACTAGGCATGGCAGTAACCTGGAGTGCAGAATGCCACAACGGGTCACTTTCATCACCTCTGGAAAACTGTACAGCAACATGGTAGAGATGGGAACATGAGAAGCTCACTCCAAAACAGACCAGAACAAAGCTATGAAGCTGCTGTTGTTTTGAGGCCACGCTGCAATTATACCTGTAGACAAAAGGTGGTGCTTCAGGTGAATTGCTAAAGGAATCTCATGAGGAAACTTTCTACAAATACCATCTTTATAGGTTTAAGTCACTTACTACAGCATTTTTTAAAAATTCACGCATCCTGGGGCAGCTAGTCAGGAGGACCTGAGTTCAAATCCAACCTTAGACCAAACAATTGACACTTACTAGCTGTGTGACCCTGGGTAAGTCACTTAACCCCAATTGCCTAAAAATTAAAAAAAATGTTTTTTTAATTAAAAATTCATGCATCCTGGGCTGAGAAAGTTGCCTGGGGTACTCCTAGCCTGAAGTCACTTAGCTAGTATGGATCAGAAGCCAGATTTGAACATAGGTCTTCAATACATTACAACAGGCTGCCCTATGGTTACATATATTATAGCATCATGGCGTAGTTTTACAGAGGGCTAGCTTTAGAATAGGAGTTTCTAACTTAGGGTCCACGAACTTAAGAAAAAATCTTCACAACTGTTTCAATTTAATTGGTTTGTTTTGTCATCCTATGTTTTAATTTATACATGACTCTGGAAGAGAGATTGAGGCCAATGTAGAACCACCCAGCCTCACTTAAATCCAATTTATGTGCAAGTCAAAGGACCACCCATACCATTTTACCTTGACCCCAACACAGTGATGTCATTTTGGTCCTCTTCTAGAATAAAGGACAACCACCACTACCAACACACTTAAAAACAGTCTTGTAAGAACAGGATGCATGGGCTTCACCAATATGTCAAGGGGGTCTAGGACACAAAAAAGGTTAAAGGCACATGCCTGTCAGGAAGACGTCTGCTTTTGACATACATCATCTCAGTGGCCCCAAGCAAGTTGTTTAACCTTTGATGCCTAAGCAGTTTTCTAAAATGACCTCTTGAGTCCTTTCGAGCTCCTGATCTGCGATCCTATGGTTATTATCTACGATTTGCCAATTTGCAAGAGTAGAGAGTTTCCAAACTAGGAAGTTGCTCATACCAAGAAAATCATTGATAGGAACCGAAAAGTTTATTAATAGGGTTTACTAGCCTGTAAACCCTTTGAACTCTTACGCAAACATTGTATGTCCGTCTCCCAGCAACCAGCACGGTATTCTGCACTCTGAAGGCCCTAAAAATCCGTGGTTTCCTAGGGGACTCCTTCGAAGAAGGTGAACTTTCTGGAGTGTGCCTAGGTGTTCACTTACTCCAATTATTCCGCTTTCACTTGTACATATTTTGCACTTACTTAACTAGGGAAGGGACCTGCTATTTTTATAGATCCAGGGATCTGCCAAGTGAGGAAATTCCTCCCAAGACAAGCCAGCCACTGTACTGGTCTGCCGCTACAGGCGGCCCTGGGGCCCCAGGAGGGGCCCCCCAAGTCTTCCCGGCCCAGCGTTGCTACGTGGAGCTTGCAGGTGCTTCTTGATGCCGGTTAAATGCCGATCACCGCATCCTCGCCAGCACCCTCTGGGTTCCGCCAGGTGCCGCGGGAAGCTTTCTACCGTTTTACACAGGGGTAAACTGAGGCTCAGAGGCCGACTCTGCTCAGGCACACAGCTGACCGGCTTTGCTATATGTTTTGCCAGATAATTTTGTTTATAAACGGCCCTGGCATCCATTTCATTTTCCAAAAAAAACTGGGGCCGAACGGGATCACAAAAGCATAGATTTCTGGCCGGCAGAGAGCACGGAGTTCATCTAGTTCAACTCCCTCCTTGTACGGATGGGGAAACTGAGGCCCAAGGCGATCCAGCACTTAGGGGTGTTTTCGCTTTACCAAAAAGGAAACTGAGGCACCGAGGGGAGAGTGACTCTCCCTGGGGTCCTTAGGGAAGAATCTGGGCCAGATTTTAAAAACCTTCTCCTCTACCCCACGGCTGCCCAAGGAAACCACCGGGACCAAACCCCCACCACAGACAAAGACCACCACGCCTGTCTGAAAAAGAACCCCGACAGAGGTCATGGGGCGGGATCTAGTCGGTAACGTCACATCCCACCCACGCTGATCTAGCGCCTGCGCGGAGGAAGTGAGGACTCCCAGCGCCTGCGCGGAGCAGACAAAAGGACCCGACGCCTGCGCAGAGGAGACAAAGGCTCTCGGCGTCTACGTAGCGGAGACGATCGCTGCCGGAAGCCTCTTCCAGTGGCTGGGCCGCCTATGTGGGGCTCGCCTTTGGACAGAGGCGGAAGGGTTTGGGGAGCGAGGATCTCAGGACCGCCTCTTTAAGAGGAGGGAGAGAAGGAAGAGGGGCACAGCTCCGAGTACCTGAGTCCGGCCGCAGCGCAGCCACAGTCGGCCTCCTTTGGATGACGCGATACGCAATGCCCCTCCCCACTCCGCCCTAGCCTGATGGAGGTGGGGGCGGGGCCTTGCCCTCCATTTCTCCCTTGCCCCACCACCTTTCGCTGGGCCCGATGCCTGCGCCATGGGGGGGGGGAGCGGGGGAAGCGTCGCGTGAGGTCGCGTCACACACACGTCTGCGCCAGCGTTGCGCATGCGTATCCGGCGGCCCAGTCAGACGCGGCCCTGCAGGCTCGGGTGATGGGAGTGTCTTGCGTTGGAGCAGCCTTTTAAACACAAAAGCTGTTAAATATAATTCGACCCGATTCCATTCCTCAAACATAGGAGCATAAATTTGGACAGACCTTGGAGCATACGGAGCACATTCTCATTTTACAAATGAGGAAACTGAGGCATACAGGGTTTAAGTAAATTACCTAAGGTCCCAAAGCTGTTAAGGAGCAGTCAGGATTTGAACCCAAGGCTGCAGATTACAAATTTCACGCACCCAGCTGTCAGTTACTAAACATTGTCTATGGAAGGCATTAAAAGACCAATATTAAGCTTGTCATCGTCCCTAGGTAACCTTTGGAAAGGGAGCTAGAGCTACCTTAAGAAGTGGTCTGCTCCAGCCTCCTTGAGCAAACAGGCCCTGGTCCTATAAGTGTCTTATTTTCGTAGACTTAAAAGCCAGAAGGTCTAGTTAGAGATTTAGTGCTACGAGAATATCATCCAATCCTCTCATTTTACAGATGAGGAAACAGGCCCAGCCAGGTGAATTGACCTGCCCGCATTTGCATCTGTAAGTGTGAGACAGAACCTGAACTCTAGACCTCCTTGTCCAAAACCAGTGCTCTTTCTATGTACCTTGCCGCACTCACCCTTTCACCTCTTCCTTTACCTCATTTTATCAAATGGGTCAAGTAATTTCCAGGGTCATAGATATTAAGTAAAAGAAATACATTTGGAACCCATTACTCTCTTCCACCTGGCTTGACAAAAGCCAGATATCAAGTTGTAAAGCCAAGCTTTAGACCCCAGGCCCTCCGATTTGTTCATGTCTTTACTGCCTTTTTAGAGATCTTTTCCAACTGTCATTCTTTGAAGTTAAGAATTACTAGGGATGACCATAAAAACAGTTCCCCTAGTAAATTAGCAAAAGAGGGACAGATGACAAATTTAGGAATCCTTCAGGGACAGGTAAGTTTGTGCCTGGAGGATTTTCCCTCTAGGGTCTACCTTGAATAATTTAGTATATGGACCCTGAGACTTGCTATACCCCCATATTCATTACCTGCAGTCAACTTAAAGAGCCTTGTCATATTTAAGGGAACTGGTCCTCAGATAGTAGACACACTGGAATGTATAGAAAAGATTTTCCAGCTTCATGGGACCTACCAAAGTTCTACTACCTAATTATGCTAGCCCTTTTTTTTTTTTGTTCCATATCTCCCTGAGAATAGTCCTGAAGACCATTTCTCTAGCACAGTTCTGTGGTAACATGTTGCAGTCTCTTCCCCTATTCCATGTGGATCTATCCATTCCCCTTTGGGTTACTTGCAACTTCAGAGACTGTGTGTATTTGATGACTTACATCACAAAACATCACTAAAACCTTGCTATTTCAAAGGTAGGCCTTTGTTTCAGGCAGATCTGCAGGGTTATTAAAAGCACAATGCAATCTCCCAAATGAAACCCAATCCTTTTTCCTCCTGTTTAGTTCTTGGCCCAATTCACTGTGTATCCGCAGGATCTATCAAAGATACACATACAAAGAAATGAGCTCTGAGGGTATCCAACCAATTGTTGTAGTATCATCTGGATAGTAGAGAGGGTTATCCAACCAATTGTATACTATCATCTGGACAATAGACATTCCTAAGCCAATCAATTTTTCTTCTGGATAGTTATGCCAAACTTTCTTTTCTTTTTTTCTTTTTGTGATTGTGGATCTCTTTTAGGAAACTGCAATGTTTCTGGCTTAATGAAATGGCATCCACAAACAGGAGCACTTTGAGGTCCTTGCTATAGGGAATATCTTCTTTTTGGATTGTGTATTAGACCTCCTCCATGATGGTGGGCCTATCATGGAGGTTATATGGCTATATTTTTATTATAAAAGTAAATTGATTTTAATGGATGGGAGGTGCCCAGCTGCTACTTGTACTCATTCTTGTACATCAGTGGTTCTCAAGTGTGGACTGGGGATCAATAAGTATCCCTGAGATCCTTTCAGAGATTCATGAGGTCAAAACTATTTTCATAATAACATTAAGATGGTTTACGGATTTGGCTTAAGGAGGGAATAACATACACACTCAATTGGGTATGGAAATCTCTCTTACCCTTCAGGGAAATAGGGAGGAAGGAGATAAAAGAGGGAAGGATGATAGAAGGGAGGGCAGATTAGGGGAGGGGGTAATCAGAAGCAAACACTTTTGAGGAGAGACAGGGTCAGAGCAGAGAACAGAATAAACTGGGGGTGGGATAGGATGAAGCGAAATATAGTTAGTTTTTCACATCATGACTATTACGGAAGTGTTTTGCATGACTACACATGTATAACCTGTATCAAGTTGCTTGCCTTCTCAATGAGGGTGGGTAGGGAGGGAGGAAGGGAGAAAATTTGAAACTCAAAGTTTTAAAAACAAATGTTAAAAACTGTTTTCACATGCAACTAGGAAGTAAGATATACAGGCAATGGGGTATAGAAATCTATCCTGCCCTACAGGAAAATAGAAGAGGAAGAAGATAAGAGAAGGGGGGCGGTGATAGAAGGGAGGGCAAATTAGAGGAAGAGATATTCAGAATGCATGCTGTCTTGGGGTGGGGGGAGGGAAGAGATGGGGAGAAAATTTGGAACTCAAAATCTTGTGGAAGTGAATGTTGAAAACTAAAAATAAATTAATTTTAAAAAATGAAAAGGGTGAATTCACTACCAATGAAGAGGAAATTAAAACAATAATTAGGAGTATTTTGCCCAACTGTATGCCAATAAATTTGACAATCTTAGTGAAATGGATCAATATTTACAAAAATATAAATTGCCCAGATTAACAAAAGAGGAAATAAAATACTTAAATAACCCCATTTCAGAAAAAGAAAATGAACAAGCCATAAATGAACTCCCCAGGAAAAAAATCTCCAGGACCAGATGGATTTACAAACAAATTCTATCAAACATTTAAAGAACAATTAATTCCAATATTATATAGACTATTTGGGAAAATAGGCAAAGAAGGAGTCCTACCAAATTCTTTTTATGAAACAAATATGGTACTGATACTTAAATTGCAAAGAGTCAAAACAGAAAAAAAATTATAGACCAAATACCCTAATGAATATTGATTTTAAAATTTTAAATAAAATATTAGTAGAGTTACTTTCTTTAAAAAAAAAAAGATGGTTTAAAATCTCTAATATAGCAAATGTTGATAGAAAAACCCCCCAAAAACAAAAGGCCTTTGGGGGGGGGGGTCCTCAATAATTTTTAAGAGTGTAAAGTGGTTCTGTGGCCAAAAAGTTTGAGAACTATTTCTATAGAATGTTTTGCCACAGAAAAACCATAATGTTCGTCTTTTTTCCTCAGGTTTCCCAGGTGCTTCATAAACTTATTTTAAAATACTAGAATATATGTACATGTAATGTTATTTTATCATAATACGAGATAATATTGGACAAGAAGTGACAAATCAACTAAGAAAAGGAAGCAGAGAATGGACAAATAGCAACTTCATTTTATTCCAGATTCTGATTCCCTTGCTTATGAGAGGGGGAAAAATGTTGTGGCATTTTCAGTAACTCTATGTTATTGAATTCTGTGACCATCAGAGGCCCTGCTGCATCAGAGGTGTAAGTTGCTACATAACATGTTTGGGTTTTTTTTAGTTCATTTTGAACTTAAATACAAAAAGACCAAAAAAAAAAACCTCACCCCCATTTCCATGTAGATAGCACAACATAAAAAGGGGGATTCAAACCACGAATTTCTATTTCACACTGTTTACTTAAAAAAAAAACAAAAAACTATGTAATATGTACCATGCATTGTTTTCAAAGCTACCTTGTTTTTCTGTGCTTCTTTCTAAGTTTTGTTTTCTGTGGTGCACTTTTAATTTTTTTTTCCTCCTTCCCTCCTCACCCTATCCCAGAGTAGGTTACCGTTAAACGCAAATATGTGTATGTATGTAAAACCATACTATACATACTTCTACTTATCAGTTCTTTCTCTGGATGTGGATAGCATCTTCCTTCATAGGTCCTTTTTAGTTGTTTTGAGTATTTATAATACTCAAAATGACTTAGTCATTCAAAGTTCTTAGAACAACCTTGCTGTTACTGTGTACAACATTCTCTTGATTCTGCTCATTTCACTCTTCATTATTTCATGCAAGTCTTTCCATATTTTTCTAAAATCAACCAGCTCATCATTCTTTACAACAGAGTAGTATTCCATCACAATCATTATATTTCACTGAAATTGTTATATTTATTGGCATAAAACTGGGAAAAATAATTCCTTGTAATTGATTTAATTTCATCTTCATTAGTGGTATATTCATCCTTTTTTTTTTTTGGTGAGGTAATGGCGGTCAAGTGACTTGCCCAGCATCCCACAGCTAGTAATTGTCGAGTGTCTGAGGTCGGATTTGAACTCAGGTCCTCCTGACTCCAGCGCTCATGCTTTATCTACTGAGCCACCTAGCTGCCCCCACCCTTTTCATTTTTAACACTAGTAATTTGGTTTCATCTCTCTTTTATTTAAATCATATTAACCAATGGTTTATCTATTTTATTGGGTTTTTTTTCCATAAGACCAACCAATTCAATGGTTTTCTTATACTCAATTTTATTAATTTCACCTTTAATTTTTAGGATTTCCAATTCAGTGTTTAATTGGGGATTTTTAATTTGTTCATTTTCTAGTTTTTTTAATTATATACCCAATTCATTGGTCTGCTCTTTCTCTGTTTTATTGATAGAAGCATTTAGAAATATTAATTTTCCTCTGATTACTGCTTTTGCTACATCCCATAGGTTTTGGCATGTTATCTTGTTATTGTCATT